CATCCTGGGAGGCCTGGGGCGGGCGCGGGGCGGAGCTCCTCCGGGAAGCCGCTCGGAGCCCCGCGTTCTGCCCCTGCCAGGTCCCGGGGCGGGGGTGAGCAGCCAGCGCCTGGGAAGCGGGGGTGCGCTGGAGTTGACCTCACGGGAGTGTAAGGAGGACCCGCAGCGTCCGTCCTTGCTGCTGAGCCCCAGCCACTGGCCGCTGCTGGGGTGAGACCCCAGGGCCCCCTCAGCTCCGGGGCACTGCGGCCTCTGCACTGCCGCCTGCCAGGCCGGGCCTCTGTCCTCGCCAGGGCGCTGAGGTGCCCGGGCCCGTCCCGAGCCCGGGGCGTTGGGCAAGCCTGCTGTGGGAGCCAGCTGTGCTCCGCGGAGGCCTGTATGGGTCTGACTGGCTGGGGTGGGCTAGGGTGGGCTGGGGCAGCCTTCTCTGTTACTTTTTTGTTTTGTTTTGTTTTGTTTTGTTTTGTTTTGTTTTGTTTTGTTTAGTGACAGTGCTGGGGGTAGAACACAGCCTTCCCACTGAGCTATGTCCCCAGCCCTTTATGTTTTATTTGGAGACAGAGCTTTGCCAAATTGCTAATTGTTCCAGGCTGGGCTTGAACTTGTGATCCTCCTGCCTCAGCCTCCCAAAGCTTTCTAACAGGGTGGTACTATTCTCAAAGTCCCAGGCAGCAGAGGGCACGGGAACTGTTGCAAGGAAGGGCCTTGACATGCAGTGTCCCTGGCATCGCAGGGGACTGGTTCCTGGCTGTGCAGAGCCCATGAAGCTCAAGTCCCTGTGGAAGCGGGCACAGCTGTGTGCATAGACCATGCACTTTATCTCCAGATTACACAAAGTACCTGACAGTGTAGGTGCTGTGGATAAAGCCCACTACTGCCCAGTACAGCATAATCCATTCACCTGTTTTTGAGCCACAGTCCGTCAAATCCACAGATGCGGACCTGTGGGTACCGGAGCCACCCTCCTCGTGGCCTCCTGGGACTCTGTCTCTGCTTTCCTGGCACGGGGGAGGTGCATGGCCTGCTGTAGTGGACGCAGCGCTGGTGCTGTGTGTGTGTAACGTGGCCACCGCACCTGTGGCCACAGTCTCGGAACCTCGGTAATCTGTGACATTGCCGCTCCACCTCCGAGCGCAGCGGGCAGCTGGACAGCGTGGGGCAGCAGTGTCACTTGGTGAGGGCTTGATGGACAGCAGAGCGTGGGAGGACTTGGGCCTCCCAGTGGACCCCAGATATGGCTGGCAGCCACTGGCATTCAAGCACTTGCCTGAGTGTCGAAGGACGGCCGATGGGGCTGCCGCGACCTCCACACGGCTCAGCAGAGCAGGGGTGGTGCCGTGTAGCAGCATCTGTCCGGCAGGGTCTGGGAGCAGCGGGGCTGGCAGGCTTCACAGAGGGCTTTGGGGAGCTGGCGTTGGGCTGGGGTTGAGGGGTAGACACACTCAGGAGACACTAGCTGTCCCGGGCGCGCCCAGCTGCAGGTCCCTGCCTGGCAGGCGGGCCTGGCCAAAGCCGTCCGCTGGGCCTTGCTGTGGATCACACGCCTGAGGGAAAGCGCAGAGCTGGCCCAGGCTGGGCGCTGGGATGGGCCCCGCTGCCATGCGGTGCCCCGGGCCCCACGGGCCAACCCACCAACCCTGCTTCCTCCCCGGACCGGCCTCCCCCCAGCAGCACCATGCAGGGGTCCAGGCCTTTCCCGTGGGCCTCTGGGGACCCCGTGGGAAGACTGTGCTCCTCTGTGCACCCTTAGGACCCATGTCCATTTCTCCAGCCTGCAGTGGCATCGCGGCCTGTGCCCCCGGCTGGCCCAGGCGTGTGGCTGGCCGCGTGCTCCTGCACACCCTGGGGGAGCTGCCACCTCCGGCCCCCGAGATGGGCAGCTCGGGTGCAGGAAGTCAGGGAGTGGCCAAGCCACCGCCCTGGGCTCCTGGGCACCACTCTTCCGGGAGTTGCCACTTCCCCAAGACCCCTGCTTGGCCACACCAGGGAGGCTGCAGGCTTGCCCTGGAAGGCAGCGGGGAGCCCTGGGGGCTCGGAGCAGCCCAGGCCCCTTGCTTCCCACCTCACTCCTTAATTCTCATCTGGTTGCAAATTCTGAAAGTACCGATGAGGGAAAGAGCGCTCAGTGAAATCCTCGGCTGCCTAGGACTGGGCTCCAGCCGACAGCACAAGAGGACAGAGGCCCCTGCGTGTCCCATTCCACGGGGACAGGTGCAAGGTGTAGGCTCAGACAGCAGAGGAGACATAAAGTAACAGGTGAGCCGGGTGGCTGTGTCCACCGCTGGCTCTGAAAAGGTCACCTTCCCCACACTGTTGTACATTTCCTAGTCAGGTTGGGGTATAACTTGCATAAGGCTAAAGACACCCCCTACTGGCCAGGCATGATAGCGCAAGGCCGCAAACCCTGCTACTTGGGAAGCTGAGGCAGGATTGCAAGTTCAAGGTCAGCCCAGGCAATGTAGCACCTCCGCGAGAACTTGCCTCAGATAACAAAAAGGGCTGGGGGTGTAGCTCAGTGGTAGAGCATTGCCTATCATGGACGAGGCCCTGGGCTTTGTCCTCAGTACTGAAAAAAATAAAAGCCCACTTTCTCACGTAGTGTTGTGAGCTCTGACACAGTTGGACGGCCCAATGGAAGGATGGAGAAACGTCCACCCTACCTGAAGCCCCTGCAGCTGTCCGCAGCCAGCTCTGCCCTCTCCTGTCCCTTGGCGGCCTGGCCCAGGCCTTGGAAAGGTGCCCTGGAGATATCCAGCAGACCTGGGCATAGCAGAGGGCGGTGCTGCCCCGGCCTGCGCCAGCCACAGCAGAAGGCTGGAGGCACAGTGAGGCGGAGACGCCGTCGCTCTGCTGCCGCTGCCCTGGAGCCTCACACTCGGGCCTGTGGCCTCCAGGGCTGCAGTCCTACAGCTCAAGACCGACGCCACCCTTGCCCGAAGCTTGATGGCAGCCTGCCAGTGCTGCCAGCTCCCGGCAGTGTGAGGCGTGCACGGGTGCATGCACACACACACACACACACACACACACACACACACACACGCCTGCAGAAGCATGCTGGAGAACTCTGGCTTACACAAGCTGTGTGCAGCAGGAGCAGGGTCCAAGTGGCGGCTCCGCCCAGAAACCTGGCGCACCCCCTGGCGGGGCTTCCCTGGAAGGCCAGCACATGTGGCTGGGACTGGCAGGATCCCGACAGGAAGGGCTGTCGCCTCTCCCTCCCTCCGGGAGATGACGCTGGGCAGCACAGGCTCGGCCGCCTGGGGACCGCTCGCAGAGGCGCCGGGCTCCCGGGGGCGCCCCGCTGTGCCCTCCCCTCCCCCTGCCCTCCCTAGGCCCGAGGCGCGCGATGTGCCTGTGTGGAGCCGTGCAGTCCAGCGTCCAGGCTAAGGCTGCTGGCACCCTGCATGCAGATCGCAGGGCCAGTCATTCAGGTGGCCGAGGCGCTTGCTTCCCTGCTGCGCCCTAGCTGCTGCCCACCATGCTGCTGTCTCCGTGCCGTCTCCCGTGCCTGCTCCGGGGCCCACAGTCAGAACGCACGGCCCGGTGCCCTGCCCGGCCTCGAGGCCAGGAGGTGGCTCAAGGAAGGGGCCGCCACGGCGGGGCTCCAGTGGCAGAGGAACGGACCGCCGTGTGCAGGCCTCTCCAGAACAGTCAGAGCCAGCCGGCTGGGACCATGGGTGACAGGGACGGCGGGCGTGGGAGGTGACACACCC